CTAAATCACAGACTGTCCAGATATTGAGGGAAATACACATCCACCTCTCATCTGCACGGGAGTCTCCGAGTGTGGTCTGATGGCAGGAAGCATGGAAAGGATGGGGAATATTCTGGTCAAATCAAAACAGATCCACGGGATCCCCCAATGCTGGAGTAAAGCACGCTAGCCTTGTTCAGCGATGCACACTGATGGTGCTCTATCCCTTTAAAACCACTCCAAATAAATGCAGCAAGCACTCAGGTCAAGGCCTTCCCCCGGTTCTCCAGCTCCAGCACAGGCTTAACAAAGAATACTTTTCTACAGCCATCTACTGACTTGCTGCTGCTACTACCACTGAGGACAAAGAGAGGCACATTTCCACTCTGCCCTTTCCTCATCATCGCGTCCGCATTCAGTGGCTGATAAGCATTTCACTCCCACCCCATTCTTACTTCATACTATAACCCAGTACTATTCGTCCTCAGTAATACACTGCAGTACATGTGACATAATAAACTTAAATATAATGTTAATATGAAACAAAGAATATAGAAATAACACGTAATGTATAGCTTTAAATAAGTGCATGCGCCTCGTCTTAAATTTTGGTGATGCTCCTGTACATCTTTGACAAAACTATATGTCAGTAGTTTGTTTGGTTAGGATTAAAACAAACAAACAAACAAACAAACAAACAAAAAGAAATGAAGCCCAAGCACTAGTTAGAATAGTTATGAATAGGTGTAAAAGTTTTTTTTTTTTTTTATGTTTTTTTGCAACTAAAGATTTATATGATGTTGGATTTACATGAACCCAAGGGTGTCATTTACCGCAGTATTGACTGCTTCTTAAACACATGACCATTAAGTCTTAGGAATCAGGTCCCTTTTAGTGAACCCTGAGTTTCTATATAAAGGAGCAGCAGTCACTCAGAGTATTAATGTTAAAGAAAGAACATCCATTCAGATAATAAATTCTGCAAATATGCCCTCACTAAAGAACAGGAGACACTGAAAATGACTTGCCATAGCCCTAACCCGCATACAGCCACCTTTCCAAATACTGAAATATAAAATAACTACAAGCAGCAGAACTGGGAGTATTATACAGTAGGGTTTGGGCTGTCTTTCTAATGTTTTTATATTTTATTTAATAACAGACACAGAAAAATGTAGAATTAAATTAAAAGAGGAACAGATCTAAACACAATGACAATGTGAAATGTGAAAACCTGGTCTATAATGTTAACCATTACCCGGTTTGAATGGGGGGGGGGGGTGTTGGGGGGTTGCTGGAGGATACTATGAAGCATAAAGCAGAAAATTTCACAAGTATACTGTCACCTAAGTAAGGACAGCTACTGGAATAAAAAATGAAAGCCCATAAATTAAAAAAAACAGAAAACAAAAAAAAACAACAGAAAGATATTTCAGAAGGTAAGAACTCAGAAGAACCTGGCATTTATAAAAGTATTATTAGATTTTTTTCTTAATCATGAGAGTGTACAACTATATAGAAAAATATGCCTGTGGCATTATGACAGACTGGGCTCTGTCCTACAGTATATGAAAACACAAAAACAAACCAGAAATGCTCCTCTCAAACACGGCAGTCGAGAGACCAAGTATTAACAGGATGGAGATAAAAAAAAAAAAATTACGTACCCTTAGTCGCGCTTTGTCACAGCTCATTTGCTGTCTTGGAATCTGTCAAAAGAATTATAGCCACATTTAAAATGTCGCCTTCAATGGAAAAGATACAGTATAAGGATCAAATCCTATGATGAACCATTAACACCGTGGTCAAAAAACAAACAAAAAAAGAAAAAAAAGAACTTAATGTAAAATCTTGACATTTTCAGATATAATGTCACATAATAAATCAGACATATCTACAGTAAGTTTATAGCTATGATAACCTTTTACAAACTGATTTCCTATTTACCAGTGCATTGATTGAGTAAGCTTATGCAGAAACTGAAAGGGCTTGCAAACTTAGTAAATGAAGTATGATGTGAATGCTGATCCATGAATACACATTTAAAAACAAAAATAACTAACATAATATGGCCGCCTGTTTGGTAAGCAGAAATGAAACCAGAGGGATGAGAAATGTAAAGTACAGCATAATAAAAAAAATGAAAAAAAAAGACTGTATACACATCTTAAAATCCACATGCCAATAAAAAGGCACAATAGATATTTCTGGAGTCTGATATAATGAAAAGAACTTGTCAAATAGTTATATATGACTTGGGCACTTTTAAAATGCCTTCCACAATATTCTTACTTTTGATACTATAGAACTGACACTGTGGGCACCTCAAAGACCAGATAGCTTAGCATACAGAATTAATCACCACTTGAAATGCTGCTCCTCCTTATCAGGTAGAACTAACACGTAAGCTCTTCCTATTAAGGTATCCTTTCCTATGATTCTGTATCCATTGGGCCATGTCCCATAACTGCTTACTCAGTACAGGGTCACGGTGAGTCCGGAGCATCTTTCAGGAAGCGCTGGTACCAGTATGGAGACAACCAGTACGGGACACCAGCCCATGACAGGGCAGAAATGTATTCATTGGTAGGAGCCTGAAATATTAACTGCATGTATTTCATGCCCTGAGACAAACAGGAGAAAATGTCCCCCTTACCTCCACAATGGTAACTTCCAATGCATTCAACTGATAAAGCTGTTACTGGCAATGAATTTTATCCATTCTAAACAAACACTGTGGTTTGCATATGCGCTCAGGACTTTCTGAAATCACACCATTACTTATATAGATCTTTGTCATTGTAAAGGCACACTTAAGGTGGTGTGCTGGGTAATATGGTGGATACAGACATAGCCCTGTAACCTGATTTTTTTCTAGATCAAGTCCCAGGAGATTCCTTGGTGTTTTAATGCTGTATCTCTGAGAAAGGTGCTTAACCTGAATTTCTCCAGTAAGGTATCTGTATGTGAAATTTGTAAATCAATATTATTATTATTGCAAGATTTCATAGGTGTCCATGAAGTACATACTGTAAGCATTCAAGTATTCCAGTTTAGGGTTTATCTCTCTTGTATGTATACATTACATTACAGTGAATTTTAGTAAAGGTCTCATCAAACGGTATGTATTAGTGTATGGGAAGCACTTTTGAAAAGAGCCAGTTCTTTATTGTAATGACACCTGACAAGTGCACGCAACTATAAAGTCATCTTAAATTGATTTTAAAACATTCAATTTCTTGGCAAATTAATTCCAAACAGATTGCAAGAATAATGCCATACCATACATTTCTATGCATATGCAAGTGTAGGACATTTTACACTTCACATCCCATTTGTGAGCTGCTGAAATGTCAGTGGAGATCCTACATACGGACACACAAGTTTATTTATGAAAGATCTTTGATGCAGGACATTACTTTGGCTCAATAGATAGTACTTTTTCCACATACCTTGAAACATACCTTGGACTGGGGGTTTGAATCCTGCCTTGGTTCTGTGTGTGTGTGTTTGTGGAGTGTGCATGCTCTCCCTTTGTCTCCCTGAGGACTCTGGTTTCCTCCTGTAGTTAAGCTAACTGTCTCCAGGTTACCTATACTACATGTGTATGCTCTATGACGGTATACCCCTACCCCTGTGCCTTATGCTTCCTGGGGTTGGCCAATGGCCCTCTTGTGACCCTGACTAGGTTGAGCATTGGGAAGACAGATGGATGCGCTTTTGAACCATGATCTAGCTATGCCCTGTTTTCCATCACTTTATTGGTGAATGTACTATGTACTGCATTGGGTGGGTTGTTTAAGAATGCGTGACATGAATTCCAGATGTTACACACAGAGCAGAGTAACACAGAGACGATTCCCTAGTGTTACATGCTGCAGTCCCATAGCATCAACGTGAAAGATTGTGTTGGCTTCCTAGAACAAGAGCAAAATACATATTTTGCCGTCTATACTCTACAAGACAAGAAATTACCATTAAAAGCAGCATTATATTAGGAAATTATTTAAAAAAATACAACATGTTTGTACATTATACCCCAGAGTATTTCCCCTAAATCGATAGCAAACCTGGTGTAAAATAAAATGCATCTGTATGTCAAGTACAAACACTGACACGGAAAACACTAGCTTGACAAACATCTGACACATATTTAAGGCAAAATGCCTGAAATGCTCGGGACAGGTGATTTACTGAAAGTGAGCTTGATATAGGCACTTACAGATAGCAGAGAGACGTGTTGAAAGTGTCGGGCTATTTAACTAAAGCAGGATGTCTTAGAGAGACTAAAAAGGTTGAATATAAAAATGCCAATAAGCGGGTCTCTGCTGAGTTCAGCTAAAAGGAGAGTGCTACTGAGAACTGCCACATTAAGCGCATTCAGAACAATGCATTCAGAGCATCACACAGAGACATTTTGAAGCAGCTTGTGTTGATTTCACTCAGCTATTGTGAACGTCCACAGAGTTCCCTTACTGCTGGTATGAAGCACTGCAACAGCAAATGCAAAACATGAATACAGGAAACTGATCTGTACTAATGACGATTACAGTATCCTTGTATTTAGGTGATAATATACTGACAAGCATTAACCACTCTACAGTATTTGCAATTTCATTATATTTGATTTTTTTTTTCTTTAACAACACCTACTGTGATATTCAAGCTTGTAACACTGAACACATGACACTGCAAGCAGTGCTACTGTACATATTAATAACACTGCTCCAGAACCTCTCATTAACTGATCCATGTCCTAAAATGAATACAAATAAAAACCAACCAATTATAAGTTTGCATCAGGGTCAGAGAAATGGGATTGTGACATAGAATTCACAATAGACACTGCTTCTGGGAAAGTTTGCAAAATTTGTAGGGCCAGACAACACTACAGGTAATCCTTTAAAGGCTTTGGATCGATACAGCAATACCTATATCAGTCAGGCTCAGGCACCGTGGGATGTGTACTGAACGGACTCTGGGCCGCAAAGGTCGTTGCACAGAAAAATAAAAAAATAATTCTTGACTCCCAAGCCTGGAGCTATGCTGCTATTCTGAATGAACCAGCCATCAAAAACACAAATAATTGTTACAAAATATTTAAATAAAATCAACACAGAAATAGTAACTATAATAGTGATAACTGTAACTAGTACTGTAGCAATATATAGAACGTTTATATCATGGGAACCTGAAAGATGTCACCACAAAGCTAAAAAGTAACAGGTTTTACCAAAACACACACACAGGTTTGTAATGATATCTTTGTGGGGACTCTCCATTCATTTCTATGGGGAAAACGCTAATCCCAACAAGATCACCTTAACCACTACCCAGCCCTAACCTTAACCATAAGTAACCAAACCATATACAAGCGTTTTGGCATTTTTACTTTTTTGATTGCATTCACAGGTCTTTGTGGTGACCTGAAAAATGGTCCCCACAATGTCAGTAAATACGTTTTGTTTTTTTTTACATTGTAAAAAAAGTACATTTTACAAAGTAATATAAACCTAATCCCCCCCCCCTCCCACACACACACAAACACAGACACACACAGTCAGCGGCCCCCATACTTTGGGGTATGATATCACAGTACTACCTAATGCACAGCCATTTATTTCAACTGGATCAGTGAGTGACATCAAATGGTAGAAAGCTGAAGTAAACTGAAATTTTGAGTTCACTGAGGAATTTGCCAACTTCAAGTGAGAACAGTATCGCAACTGTCATCACGGGAGGATCCTATTCCTTGCAGGGAACTGGGCAAGCTGAAGACTTCCACAGATGAAGCTTCTTCCTAGGTTTATATAAACAGAAATGTGATTTTTTTTTTTTTGAAAATGCCAAGTCCTGAAGCTCTGAGTTGCAGGCCAAGGTGATGTCTAAAGAATCTTTGCTGACAACTTTCCTTTCCTTTACCCGTTTCCTCTCTGCCTATCTCCATTGCAGTCTGCATGACTTCTCTTCTGCCTGGCCCTTTTGTACCTCTGGCTGCCTCGCTCCTTCCAGACTGTTGCTTCCTCCACTGCAGATTTACTAAGGTCCCTCAGTCATTGCTACCTAGTCCTGACAGCTGTCCAGTGTCCCAAGACTCAACTCACAGGGATCAGCAGTCATGAAATGTGCAAGATCCGCCTTGGCTTCATAAGCACTTTCGCCATCATGGTGAGGCAGTAGGCTGCCCGAGAAGGCAAACGGAGAAAGGGGAGGGGAACCTGGAACAGGATACACATCCAGCTTTAATAAACTGTCCACATCATGGACAATTTGGTGACTCACATTCACCTAAACTGCATGTCTTTGGAAATCAGAGCATCCAAAGGGAACCTCTGCAGAGATGAGGAGAAAATGCACATTCTACAGACACAATCAAGGACAGAAATCAAACAATCATGGGAAGTGTGAGACCAAGACTGCTTCGACGAAAGCAAATAAATCCCTGGGGAGAAAAACCCTATGCAACTCGAGGAAGGGGGCTGGGTGCCCTATAAACTCTACCCTTCTGGGGGAGTCATCTTTTCTTCTCTCCTCCCTACACAACTAACCCCAATAAAACCCTCACCAGGCAAAAAAATCCATTTAAGGCCAGGTAGGATTCATTATTTGAGTTTTCTGTAGGCATGGCATACAGGTAAGTCACTTCAGCTTTCATAATCGCTGCCCTCCCTGGTAGATGGATAAATCATTGCAAGTACTTTACACACAG